CCTGGAGCAGGCCAGGGGCCAGGGCTTCCAATGCCAGAGTTAAGAGTTAAGTCTCTGGCAAAAGGTTTCCAATTTTACAGAAGTTCCAGGTTCTGCTCAGGTCCAGCCCAAACTTAACCTCAACTTGGTGACAACAGAGGAGATGAGGAACAAGATAGACAAAGAAGGGAAAGAGGTGATCAGGCTATCACCCTCATGGCCTCTTCCCAAGGGTTATCAAGATAAGGGTCACAGAAACAACAGTTCTCATGCCAGGGCACACAACCCCAGCAGGACAGTTTTCAGAAGAAATTACAGGTCTCCTGTCCCTGTAACTGACTCACTAGGAGCCTAAAATGCTCAACAAGTTCTTGACAGGAGACAAAACAGGGTCCCAGATTGTCAGTCAGAGGACCAACCCAGGGGTCAACTGGAATGACTCCAGGTGCCCCAAAAACCAGAGGAAAGCACCCAGGGGTGGAGCACTTGGTCCTTTAAAGATTTCTTTGTTTCTCGGTTCCAAAACTCAAATGGAGCCCAAAGTGGCCACTGTATCCCGGGCTATCTTACCAGATATTTATGGCTAACCCCATTTTAGGAGGCTTTTCCCAAGGTGGCTGCAGGAAATGAGATAATTTTCCAAAGAGAGTTTGTTCCCATCACCAAGAAACTCAGTCCCCAAACAGCCAATTTTAAGCTATTTACAGATACAGGTGCAGGCACAGACACAGACACAGAAAAACCAGACACTATTGAACTAGTTCTCAGATTTAGGTTAACAAGTCCTACAACTGTTCCTACTTGAAGTGCACATCCAGATGGTCCTATTGGACCCCAGATGGCCCTGTGATAAACGGAAGGACCCAAGATGGAGGGAAAGGGAGTTCACGGGCATCCACAAGGTGACTTACCCTATTCCAGATTGAGCCCGTGTTCTTGCCAGACATAGCTGTTTCTCTTCCTACCACAGTCAGCATTAGGAGGCCACCCTATCAGTATGGGAAAGCAGGAAAGGCAGTTCCCCGAGACAAAGAGAGCTTAGGTAGCCACTAAGGACTTACCCGACAGGTTCCCTGTCTGAGATCTACTGACCAAGAGCAAGCAGGATTTAATGTCCTATCTGGAGTGCCAAATCTGTTACTGCACTACAGGGGTCATCTGCCTGCTGCAAGACACGGCAATAGGCAAGGTGGTAGGAGAGAAAGGACTTTATTACAGCTTGCTAGCAAGGGGGAAGAGGTGAACTAATGTCAGAAGGAACCATCTTTCAGAACAAAGACTACAGGCCTCTTATATAGGGGGCAGGTGTCCAAGTCAGGGAGGCATCTGGTCTCCAGGTGGGAGCAGACATCTGGTCTTAGTTCCTGACAGATTTTGTTTTACCAGATATGCATCAGAGACTGGAGCAATGCCCTATACCCTGATCTTTTAGTTGTCATTGATGATGTCTATGAGTACACTCTCTCTGCCCAGGGGTCAGCACGTTCCTAAGGAACTCAAAAGAACAAAGTTATCAACTTATAGCAGCTGGGAGGGTCCATAAAATCTACAGAGCTTGGCTGGGTTAGTTAATCAGAGGTCACTCAAAGTTACAATATGATTTCTTTTCTTCAATGTGGCTTTCCTTATGTCAATGTTGTGTTGAGGCGGTATCAAGCTCTGTCAGTACGGCACTATTGGCAGTGTCCTAAAAGTGTCATGCCATTTACACTTGTGCCTGTCTCCCTGTACCAATCTTATCCAAGTCTTAAGAAAAATGCTGACACCAATAGACAGTTAGGTTATAAACGCATCTATAACATTTCATTACACTTTTTTTGAGGAGGAGGAGGATTAGCCCTGAGCTAACATCTGCTGCCAATCCTCCTCTTTTTGCTGAGGAAGACTGGCCCTGAGCTAACATCCATGCCCATCTTCCTCTACTTTATATGTGGGATGCCTGCCACAGCATGGCTTGCCAAGCAGTGCCCTGTCTGCACTTGGGATCTGAACCTGCAAACCCCGGGACGCCGAAGCAGAACGTGTGAATTTAACCACTGTGCCACCGGGCCGGCCCCCTCATTACACTTTTTGATTTGTGCCTATTGCCCCTACTAGACTATAATTTTATCTGCAGCAGAAACCACGTCATGAATTTTTTAAGCCCAGAGCCTAGCTAAATGCCCAACACAAATGGTCACTAACTATTTGTGGAATAAATGAATAAGTTAAAGAATGACTGAATGAACCGTATCTTTACTGAATATATCATCTTCTTACACGCTAAAAACATCCAGAATGACAACAGGAGATGAAGTGGAAGGGAAGTCCATGAGGTAGGTGTCTAAGCCTGCAAAGAACTTGGGGCGAGAGACCTAGGCTGGCTGATAGATTACCCAAAGAGAATGACAGTACATGTAAATAGTAAACGTAAGGAGGCTGGCAGATAGTGTAAAGATGGACAAAGGGGTTTTGCACCTATGTGGACAAAATCATGAGAGGAAACCAACTGAAAGGCAATACTGCCTCCCAGCGGCACTTGGGATAAAAGCCTCTACCTAGAGCACTTCTACAGAACAGCTTTCTCAGGAGTGCCATGAACTGCGCCAGGCACCTCTTACTCTATCTCGTCTAAGCCTCACCAGAACCCCTTGTAGAGACATAGCATGTAGCATCGGGGTTAAACGCACAGACTGGAGCCAGGCTGTCTGCCTCTCCCACGTACTAGCTGTGTGTTATTGGACCAGTTACTTAAATTCCCTGCATATTTCCCGATCTGTAAAATAGGGAAAATATTAGTACCTACCACGAAGACTGCTTATGAGAAGTAATTCTGAAATTCCTAAAATGGTAATTGACAGCACAGCAAGTGCTATACAAATGTTAGCTATTATTATTCCCTTTTTCCTGATAAGAAATTAACGTTAAATAAATCAACCATACAATAGGAACTCAGTAAATATAATTTCCTTTGCTTTCTCCCCTTATGTCTTAGCAACATAAGGTGTTGCCCTCCTTAGTGGCCCTGAAACTTAAACAGGGTACTCCTGAATTGCCCAAAGAAGTCATTTCCTAAAGACACCAATGCAGAAGCTGAGAAACCTCCATGAAAAAGTTCAGGGGGATGTGCTTCCAGAAAACAGCACTCTCCAGGGCACTCCTGTCACTATTATTAGAGTGAAGACCTTCCCAGGCATGAAATCCACCCTACCCAAAACAGGATGCATAGGGATTGGGAAAATCAACTAAGATTCGTGCAGGAAGCCAGATTTCTAGGAATATTCAAATAAGTATGATCTGCCCAAGGCCCATTTTTGCTTGATTTGTCCACAGGAGCTGAGGGACCATGATCATATTCAAGATTAGGCTAAAAATAACTTACTAGAGACTCAATTCCCTCCTTGCTCTCCTACTATTATTGTAAAAATAAAATTCATGAAAATGATGGTTTTCAAGTGACACGTATGATACTGATGTGATAACCAGACGGCCCACCCCAGTCCACATGTGCAGTGAGATGAATGGCAGATTACATATCAATAGCACACAGGCTCCTTTCATATTTGCAAAGCTCTCCACAACTCTGCAAGCTCCCTCCAATTCAGATTTTAGTATTCCTGGGTGTTCTATTTGAGAGACTGAATATACAAACAAACCATCGCCAGATCAAATATAAAAATAGAGCTCTGGCCCACAATCTGCAGAAGCCTACCCAGGAAACTGTTACTGAACACAAACACAGATTCGTTTACCCGCCACACAGGAGGGCCAATAAGTGGAACACCAGGCTTGTGGCGAGGAAAGAGGTTTACTATAGAAGGGCAGCCACACAAGGACATGGGAGTTAGAACTCAGATCCACCTCCTTGAAGGGAAAAGGGAGGGGGATTTATCCTGGGTTTAGGTGGTGGAGGGGGAGCATGTGGCCTTGCTGGTTGGCGCCTTCCCAATAGCCTGCATTCGGTCTTGAAGACTGAATTTCTTTCCCCTTGACTGTCTGGACTTTTCTGGTTAGTTTTCATCTTCAGCCTGCGTTTGGCCTTGTGAGGCTGAATCTTGATGTCTGGACTTTGACTTCCTGGGAAAAACAGCTCACTTATATACTGAAGGACAGAAAGACATGGCTAGTTTTAAACAACGGTTGACTATGCTGAGTATGAACAGCTGCAATTAGCAAAGCTTCTCTCAAAGTTTTTGCTCTAAGAAGATGTTAACTTCTTCAATCTCAGTTTCAAAACCAACCCCCTTAACTATAACAAACAGCCCAGGAAGCCAGCCTGCTATAAGTCAGAATTGTAGAGGTCAGACTGCTGTCTCTGGTGATAGTCCAGGAAGACAAACAATAACCCCTGTAACAATAGGTCCAAAATGCCCAGAACTGGATTAATACCCAACAGCTTCCCTAATTTTTCTCCCCACTCCCAACTTAGAACCAACCAGACAAAGCCAAATATGCACCCCTAACCAACTACATAGGATGCCCGGCTCCTAGTTAGCCCACCTGCAGCTTCCCCATGTAAATAGCCTTGAATCCGGGAATTCCTGAAACCTTCTCTCCCCCCCGCCCCCCAGAAAGCCTTCGCACTCCTCGGCTTGCTTTTGAGTCTCTGCCAAAACGCAGGTGACAGTGGCTGACTCCCTTACAATGCAGCAAGCTCCGAATAAATAGCCTTTGCTTTTCTCATTTGGTCGGTCTTCGTTTATTTGCACAGATTGGACCTAGTAATTCATGAAAGACTAATTTCCAAACCCTCTTTAAAAGATAGTGGTTTACATTTTTTGTGTGTTATTTCTAAAACAGTCACAGAGTTAGCAGAGAACATCGTTTGCTTCCCCTTGATAACCTCAGTCAATATGCTTAAGGGCTCACCTTTCCGCAGAATACCTTCTTCTTGGAATGGGCGCAGCCTCCTCCTGCCCACCTGAGCTGTAGACCTAGTACCCCAGAGCCGGTGGGCGGAGACCCGGGGGAGCGCCTCCCGCGCCCTGGCCAACCTCCGAGTGGAAACTACAATTCCCAGCGGCCCCTGCAGACGCGGGACGCGGCCACGACGCGCCTGCTCAGTGGCGGAGGCTCGGGCTGTGTGGTTCCCGCCAATTCTTGCGGCCGTCCTGCTTGGCTTGAGTTGATGGAGCCGTTTGACCCCGCCGAGCTGCCCGAGCTGCTTAAGCTTTATTACCGGAGGCTCTTTCCCTACGCCCAGTACTATCGCTGGCTCAACTATGGCGGAGGTGATGGAGGCGGGGAGCCGGGAGTGGGTCCGGAGGGGAGGGGAGGAGGATCCGGACGGGTACCTGGGAACGACAGCGTGGAGCACGGCCGCCAGGCTCTGTGCCGGGTGCCTTCAGGCGTCATGTCGAGCCCTCCTCAGCCCCTCGGAGGGTAAATGGGCCGAGAGGGGAGATGATGCCCACCCAGCTCGCGGCCACGCCGAGAACAGCGGAGCCGCGGCTCCGGGCACTGCGCGGCCGGACTCACGGTCGGCGCCGCGTTTACCTGCCGCGGGGCCGGCGCCGGGCGGGTTGGTGGGGCGGGAGCGCGATCTGCGTCGGGGGCGGAGGGGCGGCTCCCGGAGGAGGAGAGGTCCTGAGGTCTGCGCGGCCCGCTTCATGAGTGTCCGCCGGGGAGGGAGAGCTGGCGTGACGTATTGGAAATATTTCTGCATCTTTTTCCTCGTTTTTACTGTTCCCTATCACATGCGGGATGAAAAGCCCCTTGCAGTCAGGGACTGGGTCTTGTCTTTGGTTTTGGGGGGGGTTTATTTGCGTGTAGCACAGTGCTGGCCACAGGCGGCTCATTAAAAATATCGTCTCATTGGTTAATGTTACAGTGCTCTGAGCTGAGTAAAGTACCAAATTAATTTTAAAATATACATTTATTTTGCAGTGGTAAAGAATTACTTTCAACACCGTGAATTTTCCTTCACATTGAAAGATGATATTTACATTCGCTACCAATCCTTCAACAACCAGAGTGATCTGGAAAAGGAGATGCAGAAAATGAATCCTTACAAGATTGACATAGGCGCGGTGTATTCCCACAGAGTGAGAAATCGGTTTTATATATCTCGTTTTGTTTTTTAACCGAAAATGCATTGGTCCCCTTAAGGTTTTGAGAGAAAACTTTTTAGGGTTTATTCTAGTTGAAGAGCCACACTTTATTTAATTGTTTTTGCAAGTACATTGTTATGTTTTTTGTTCTGTGATACTCTACATTACTGACTGGAAATCATTTGGAAGTGCTTGTATTCTCAGTAGGACAAAAAGCTGAGTTTCTGGCAAAAGATTAAATGAGGAAGTCAGCATGATTTAAGGGAGGGAATTAAGAGAGAATTACATTCTCTCCCAGCGTTGGAGTTCCGCTCGATTCCTCTTTCTCTCACACTCCTGAATCCGTTCCATTAGGACATCGCTTTAGCGCTACCATAGTAGTATCTAAAATCCTACCACTGCTACCACCGTCATCATCCCTCGTCTGAATTACTGTGGAAACTTCCTAAGAGTTTGCTCCTGTAGACTCCAGAGTCTACTCTCAGCACAGCAGCCAGAGTGATCCGTTTAAAACAAGTCAGATGCTCTGATTCCTCTGCTCAAAACCATTCTCCAGGGGCTCCCCTTTTCACTCAGAGTAACGGCCCCTCTCTCCCTCACTCGTTCCACCTCCGCCACACTGGCCCTTGCTCAAGCACTTTCCACTGCCGAGAACCCAGTCCCCCAGATATCTTCTTGGTTCCTTCCCTCGCCTCCTTCAAGTCCTCACTCACTGAAGCCCACAGCAACCTGCTCCCCTCATCCCCCTGCCACCCATATGTTCTAAGCGCCTAGAAGAGAGAGTACACCATGAATACTTGTTGAAGGAATGAACATGCCAAAGTAGCCCTTCGTCCTCTCCTTACAAATACACACATGGGGGGAAGTAGACCCGTGGGCTAATAGCTTTTGTATGGTGCTTTTTTATATGTCGTGTATCTTGTTTTCATATCAATCCTGGTTATTCTTCTTACAAAGGAGAAAACAGGCAGGGAGGACTTAAGTAATTTGCCGAAGGCCACATAACTTCTAAATGATACAGCTGGGACCTGAACCCAGGTTTCCTGACTAAACCCCAGGGGAAGGGGGAGGAGGTAAGAAAAGGCAGGCAGGAAAAGTCCTTTGGAGAAGTTTCCTCTTCTTTAGACGTGGAGATTAAGTGGGGTCTCTATAGAAGGGGCACTGTAGTCCTCCCTAACACTGAAGGGGAAGAAGTCTCATTTTTTTATAGGGTCAAGACAGGCATCTGTACAGCTTGTTTTTTAAGGTCTTCCTTAAAAAATAAGGTCTCCTCCTACTCCTCCTATTTTCTGCTCCCCAGAGGCAACCACTTTCTTTTAGCTGATTCTTGAAGCATTTGCCTCCTTGTCTCTAAATGACATGATTATATTTCTTCCATTTTTCCATTTTAAGCATTATCTATTGACTTTCCACTCAGGCAGATGAGGAGTTAGCTTTCCTTACCTCACCCCAACCCTCCCCACACATCCAAGCTTCCCATTCCACATGCTCCTAATATGTTTGTTAGACTAAAAATTAGAAGTAGGTCACTAATTCAACTCCACACTCTGTAAATTGTCTAAACCTCCCAATGTATTCAGACCCATCAGGCAGTTTGCCAGTTTCATCCTGAAGAAATTTCTCCTGCAGCCTCCTCACCTCCAACCTGGACTGATTGCTCTCTAGACCTGACGGATGAATATGGTCTTGTAATCACTGTGGTTTCCTTTCACCTTTCTCCTTGTTGGATCCCTTGTTGCCCAGATCCTATGTTCTCTTTTTGGTTTATTCCTTGTGTTGGTGGAGCCGATCCTCCAGGAGCTTCCTGAGAAAAGGTGAAGGGAAGACAATGCTTGACACCTGTGTCTGGAAAATGTCTTCATGCTACCTTGATGCTTAACAGGTGGTTCAGTTTGTAAATCAATCTCTCAGAATTTTGAAGACATTGCTACATTATCTTCTGGTTTCTGGTGTGGCTGTTAAGAAGGCTAATGGCATTCTGATTCTTGTTCTGCTGTGTCAGAACTGGAAGCTCTTAGGATTTTCTGTCTATCCCTTCTGTCCCTAATGTTTTAAAATTTCACAATGATGTGCCTTGGTGCATATTGTTTTTCTATGTTGTGCTAGATATGGGTCCTTATGATCATGAACTTGTATCCTTCAATTCTGGGAATTTGTTTTTGTTTCTGTTTTGGTTTTGGTGAAGAAGATTCACCCTGAGCTAACATCTGTTACCCATCTTCCTCTTTTTTTGCCTGAGGAAGATTAGTCCTAAACTAACATCTGTGCCACTCTTCCTCTATTCTGTATGTGGGATGCCTCCACAGCATGGCTCATCAGTGGACTAGGTCCGTGCCCAGGATCCAAACTGTGAACCTGGGCGGCCAAAGTGGAGCATGCAGAACTAACCACTAGGCCACGGGGCCAGCCCCCTCTTCTTCTTTTTTTTTTAATATGATTTTTCCCTACCTATTTTCTCTGGTCTCTCTAGAAATCCTAAAATCAGATGTTAAGCGTCTTGGATTGGTCCTCTCATTCTATTTTTTTTCCCTGCTATTTTCTATTCCTTTGTCCTTTTGCTGTACTTTGTGGGGAATTTTCTCAGAGGTTTTCATTTCAGCTATTATATTTTAATTTCCAAGAACGTTTTTAGAGTACTCTGTGCTTTTTTCATTGATATGTCTTATATCTGAGGATGTCAATGATAGTTTGTTTTCTTTTCTTGCACCATCTGCTTTCTCTAAGTTGCTTTTTTTTCCGTTGTTTCCCCTCTCTCTTTCATATTATGTCTGGTAATCTCTTGCCTGTCGCTTATATTTAAGAATAGAGTACTAGAAGCTATTGGAAGCTCTGCACACATGACTGAGATGTCTTTACTACAGGGTGATCTGGCTGGGCCATTTTATTGAGGGGAAGCTCTGATGTCAGTTTCTCTAGATCTTTGCTAGAAGGAACACTCCACTAGCATAGAGATCTTTGTTTTGATTACTGATCTGTTCCTAGAGCATGTAACAGTGTCTGACACAGCTGGTCAGATTCTTCAGAAATGAATCTTGCCGTCTCCTGCCTGGGGTGGCAGTGGAAAGGTACAGAAGTGAGGGGAGAGGCCTGGGTCTCACCCTTCCACGTGTAAATGTCTAATTAATCCCCTGAATAGCAGTACAGTATAACCTTCTTCAACTGTGCCTGTTGCCCCCCACTCCCCAGTCCAGAGACCCTCTGTTTTATGTTCTCCAGACAATAATTCAGGTGTCTTTGCCAGGGAAATGGAAGTGCAGTCACCTGGCTCTGCAGAGTAAGTGGAGGAATGTAGCGAACTAACTGCTTGATAAATAGATTTTTAACCGGTCTTCACACTCACTCACTCCAGAGATATCCGTTGTCACTTGTTCCTGAGCCTTTTGGGGATTCTGAGGTATAAATTGGGTTGCTTCTTATCTTTCCTTCCTGAGAGCTTAAGATCCAGCTTTTATGGGTCTCCTTATAAAAACTGTGGTGGTAGTGTCTCCTCTCTTGTTCGTTTTTAAAAGGCTTAGGCCTTTCTTAAAAAAAAAACCTTTGCTATCATTTTTGTGCAGGTTTGGAGGGAGCAAAATAAGCTCTGTATTCAGTTAGCTTTCTTTACTGGGTAGTCCATTGCCTCAAAGGAGGTCATGGGCTCAGTTCAGATTAATTGCAGAGATTTTTATTGAATTATTGAAAAATTTAAAATATATTTTCGTTACTTATATGTCCCGTACAATTAAAGGTCCTTAAAACACCTTGCAATAGGGCATTAGTTATTTGTAGGTACTTTTCCGTATCAGAAACTTAAAAAAGCTTTATTATGATTTCCATTGATCAACAAATGTTTAATTATACAATGTTATATGTCAATTATATCTCAGCAGAACTGGAAAAAAAACAAATATTTATGGTAATATGTATTTATCAAACCCTGTTTCAAGTAGATGAAAGTTACATCAATTCTGGTGGATGTAAAGGATCCAAATAATGAACTTTAATTATGTGGTTTCTTCACTTCTCTATGGTCACTTTTTCCACGTGGGTAGAAAATGAGCATCGATGGCAGCTCTTATAGAAACTGATTGATACTTTGTACTTGTAGCCCAATCAACACAATACAGTGAAGCTGGGAGCTTTCCAGGCCCAGGAAAAAGAACTGGTGTTTGACATTGACATGACAGACTACGACGATGTGAGGAGATGTTGTAGGTGAGCGCCATGTGGCTTGCTGGTAAGGTGGGTGGTATTACTGACAGTGAGTAATGATGACTCTGCTCCAGTTCTGCAGACATATGTTCTAAGTGCTGGACCTTGATGACCATGGCCATACGCATCATCGACCGAGCATTAAAGGGCAAGTATCGGCAGTGTCTGAGTGGGGTCAAATGCAAGAATCTGTTTTCCTCTGAATATTAGTCTGTCTATGCCATTTTATAATCAAATCTCATAGATTTCCAACAGGATTCCTTGCAACATATGATACGAAAATGAAAGACTGGAATAATGTTGTAGTTGAAACTCTAATAAAGCTGTTGATCAAACCAGTGAGCTTTTTCCCAATGCAGTCATCTATTGAGCAACTCTGTGTGCTAGGTACTGTCCTAGATGAGAGAAATATGGACGATAACAATTCTTACCTCAAGTAGGAGACACAAGAAAATCGAGGATTACATTGTGTTAAGTAATATGCACAGAGTGCTATGGGGATAGAGAACAGCAAGGGTGCACACAGGAATGGGAAGAGCCTAGGTCAGAATAGGCTTCCTAGAAAAGATCATGAGAAGGATGGAAATGATCATAATAATAGCTAATTCTTACCTAGGGGGCTTATTGTGTGCAAGGCACTGTTCTAAACACTTTAAATTTATTAACTCTTTAAAGATCCCTAGACTGATTCTTTAAGAATAAATGGTAGTTAGTCAGGGAGAGAAATGGAAATGCTGAGGCATGAAGAAATTCTTGGCAGGGAGATCAGGATAAACAGGAACCTGAAAGGAGTTAGTATAGTTAAGGTGCTACATGTGAATAAGAGGTAAAAAATGAAGCTGACTTGGGGGCTGGCCTGGTGGTGTGTTGATTAAGTTCACACACTCCACTTTGGCAGCCTGGGGTTCACAGGTTCGGATCCTGGGCGCAGACTATGCACTGCTCATCAAGCCATGCTGTGGTGGCATCCCATATACAAAACAGAGGAAGATGAGCACAGATGTTAGCTCAGGGCGAATCCTCCTCAGCAAAAAGAGGAAAATTGGCAATGGATGTTAGCTCGGGGTGAATCTTTCTCACCAAAAAAAAAAAAAATGAAGCTGAAGAAGTAAGCAAGAATCAGGATTTTACAGATTTGTTTTAAAACTTATTTAAATTTCTCCCCTCCTCAGAGGACTTTGGATTTAAGCATCGTCTCTGGGTATATTCTGGAAGGAGAGGTGTTCATTGTTGGGTCTGTGATGAATCAGTTAGAAAATTGTCCTCCGCAGTACGTTCTGGGATAGTTGAGTATTTGAGTCTTGTAAAGGTAAGATCTTCTTAATGATAATTTACATTTCTTTGTTTGCTAGATGTTAGCAAGCCTGGTGTGTTTAGTAACAAAGTTAAACTATCTTTTATAGCATCCACATCCCAGGGTAGATGATGTTACCAGTAGATCAGTTAAAATCATAGTAGTTACATTTTTTAAGATAGTTCATATTTTTGAAAGCATCCCCCTTTGTGGCAAAAGGAAGATTAGTTTCGTTTTCTAGTTCAATTATGTCAAGTAGAGTTAACCCAGAAAGTTACAGGTATTGAGACTATATAAATAGCATCCGAGCTTCTCTACTTCGACAGAATTTAATCAGTATCTTTAGAATGCACTAGAGAAATTCTTTAATTATTTCAATTTATGTTCCATAACATACATGAAGTTCTTTTTCCATGGTTTATTTTTCAGGGTGGTCAAGATGTTAAAAAGAAAGTTCACCTAAGTGAAAATGTCCACCCTTTTGTCAGGTCTGTTGGGAAAGACTCCATGCTGTTTAAGTTGTGTTTGATTTACCTTTACGTGCTTTTAGAATTACCTTGTCATCAGTTTTCTCTGCTGGGCTAGCAGTTTACAGTAATGATAGCTAGAGTTAATTGAGTGTCTATTTTAGGCTGCTGTGTTCATGACAGGTACTTTACACATGTTCTCCTGGGTCTTCACAACAGCTTCATGAGAGACATGATGGTATCTCCACTTACCGATGAGGAAAGTAATGTGGCAAAGATGACATGAGACAGTAGATATGAAGTCTATTTGCAAACTGCTAAGCATTATGTAATTGTTGAGATGTTAAAGCAAGCAATTCAGAGTAAAAAATGTAGGCTGTATCCCTCATTCTACTAATGCATTAAGATGCTGTCCTCATTTGGTTGCTTTCTACCCTTGTTACATATTTATGATATTAACCTTTTAAGTTGTGGAGTTTAAGAAGTAAACATTTCTTGAATATCTGTTCTAACCAGGTACTGTGCTAGGTTCTCTGCCCTTAGAGGGTCTCATTTAACTCTCATAACACTGTGAAGGGATATTATTCTCATTTTACCTAGTTACGTTCCAGAAATTCAGTGAAAATAAGCCCTAGCCTCCCAAATGGCAACAAAAGCTACCTGATGTATGTGTTGCTAATAGTGTTGGGACTTTGTTACTGTTATTTCTACAGAAAATCTATAAGCATAATAAAAAAATACTTTGAAGGATATGCCTTGGTGGGTCAAGATATTCTTGAAAATAAAGAAAGCTGGGATAAGATTTTAGCCCTTGTTCCTGAAAATATCCTTTCTCAAGACCACTTCTATGTGAGGTACTTATATTGATCTATGATATTATAAGTGTGTTCTCCCTACATTTCTCATATACTTATTCTTATAAGTTTAATCTTTTTTATACAAAACATCTCCTGTATTTCTGCATTTTTGTATTTCCAGTCTGCAATACAATGAGAAAGGAGACCATTTCGTAAGTAAACTTCCACGTTTTGGAAGTTGATCCTCCTAGAATTAATGGCTATTTATTTATTTTTACTGTTAATGTTTTGTTTTTATCATTTACCACTGGCATGAAGGTGAGGAATACAATAAAATGCTTAGGCGGGCACCCCGTTGCATTCCCACCTCACTGGGATCTTCTCAGTTTACTCACTAGATGAGCCAGGCTGACTTTATTTCCACTGGCAGCACAAGAAACATATTTCTACTTTATGCGGAAATACATGTTCTTTCTTCACGGAATTCCCATCTTCTTCCCACCTTGGGTGCTTGCTCCTTCTCAAACTCCAGCTCCACTTGACTGTCAGTTCCTCATGGACACTTAAGTCATCCTCATTCACCATACTTTATTCTCTTCCTTCATCTCAAAATGAATTCATACCTCTTTGTTTGTTCCCTCCTTATCTTCTCTCTTCCTGATACATTGAAAACTGCCTGATCTTTGCTCCAGAGCTCTGTGCAGGGAAGTGTCAATCAGAATGTGCCACAGTTACAGACACAGGCTTCCTGGACCTGATCTCCCCACAGAGGTGCCATTTTCTTGTCATTTGCAGTATTGGTGACACTATCTGCATGGAGAGTTTGGGGCATCTCTAATTAAGTGAAAATCTTATCCCCCATGTAAATCCCCCTCGGCCACTTCTGGTGATTAGTGACAACTCTTGGCAATTATCCAGCAGGTCTACATGAGCAGCTAAGCAGAAGGTAGAGAAAGTTTTCTATGTTCCTGTGGGAGAATAAGTTTAGAATGAAAGTGGTAATTGTGGGTGGAAAGGACACTCCAAGGTGCATCACTATGTTTCCCATTGGACATTTTCCTTCAGGCTCTTTCACTTTTTCAGAACCACTCCAAAGTTTGTTCACAGTGATCATCAGCAGATGATTTGTAGGCTGGTCATTCTCATGAGTTTAAGGTCCACAACACTTGCTGTTTATGGCCCCAGGTCTGTTTATTCATACAATACTGTTTGAAATGCCCACAGCAGACACTCCTCAGGTGCTCACAGATGATGAGGGGGTTGTTGGCTGTGTCAACATCCAAGGTCAGATCCGTGCAGAATAACACTGAAATATTAAAATTTTGTTTCTTTTTCCTTCTTTTGAAATTATCTTCCTCATTTACTGTTGTTAAAGAGGCAATTACATTCTGGGCCTTTTCTTGTATTTCCTTGGAACTTGTGCATTCTCGGGTTCATCTGGAGAACAGCTCTCAGCTCGGGCTCTAACTCCTTGATCTTTGAAACCAGCACCCGCAGCGGGCTACCAAGCCTCACGACCTTCTGAGAGACTACAGAGCAGAAGGGGTACAATAAACCCTCCCCGTCAGGCTCCTTCTGCAGTGAATTGATGCACTGGAGGCAGCAGACACGCCATATTTCAGGACACGGGTTTTTCAAGATAAGTCATGCAGACAAGACACGTACTTGCTTCTTTGAAGTGTTCAGCCATGGCCGCTGTCTCTCCTCCACTAGGACCTCTTCTGGCCTCCATCTGCTTGTCCTCACAGCTCACTTCTCTTAATGGCTATTTAAAGAATGCTGGATCATTTACTTGAAATATGTGCCAACCAGGGAAAGGTTTTACGTTAAACTATATAGTTATTTTGGCATTCTTTCTGTCATAGCACTACTGTACTTTTACAGGGGAATTTAAGGAAATGTGTTTAAATTTAATATTTGCATTTTAGAAAACAATAATTACTTTCTATATAAACTTAAGATATCCTTGTGGTAATACATACTGAAAATAAGTTGTTCACTGATGTGCCCTAAATGAGTGTGTTCCTTAATTAAGACCCATCACCAATGCATAATGACCTTCAACAGAACTTCCAAAAGCATCACAGTTCACTTCAGCGTTGGGAGTATTTGAAGAAGGCAGCCAGCCAATGTCCGGTATGTTCCACTGAAATCTGTATCACACATACAATGCTGCAATTCTTAATTAAATTCTACTTGTTTGGCTGAGGAAGTTAAAGATGGTTGAAGATCATTTTTTAACCACTTTTAAAGAAAGCTTTAGAAGTTCCTACTGATCCCCTCATGCCGGACTTGCATCTGCTTTCAGAGTAACATCAAAAATGAGAAATGTGGACCCTGGCTTGAGTGGGAGATTATGCTCCAGTACTGTTTTCCACGGCTGGATATCAACGTTAGCAAAGGAATCAATCATTTACTGAAGAGCCCTTTCAGTGTTCATCCGAAAACAGGTACTGTGTAAAGAATGGAAAGAAAACTAAAAGAAAAATGCAAGTTATTTTTTGTTTTAGTCAGCATATCGCTGGGTGTGAATACATATGATGGCTGAGATATTAAAAGTTGAGGAATTTTTCTATCAGCTAATACCTAAATTTATTTATTTTTAATTGTTGATTAGTAGCTACCAGATGAGTTTCCACCATGTAAATAATTCTCAGTTGGGTTTCTGAGGTTCAGTGTGAGAATCAGAGTTGGAGAGGAACTGAGAAATCACACGACAGCGCTCACTGTACAGAAGAGAAGACAGTGGCCCAGGAGATTCAAGTGACTTCTCCACAGTCTTAAAACCAGTTGTGTCAGAGCTGGGAACAGAGTTCAGCTCTTAACACTCAAAATCCTCTGCTGCCTCCCTCAGTTCTTTTTCAGTAGTTTTAGTTTTCCTCTTTCACATTTCTCTTAGGTAAGATTTGATGGACTGAAACGGACTTTAAAATAAATATAAAAGTGGTTATATTGGCATCAACTTTGCTCCATCCAACCAAGGGACATAACACAGAAGTATATAGTTGTCCTTGGTAGTGTCCACAGTCCAGCTCTGCCGCTTGCTGTGGGATGTGAGGCAAACTACTCTCTGTGCCTTGGTTTTCTCATCTGTAAAATGGAGATAACAGTACCTACCTCAATGAGTTATTGTGAAGATCTAAATTGTAAAGAGCTTAGAAAAGTGTCTGTCACATATTCAGTTCTCCCGAATTGTGTAGTTTCCTTTAATAATCTACAGTGACTCTGTAGGGCATAGATTTATATAGCCCCTTTTCAAACCTGTCAACTGTGTGATTTTAGCTTCTTTTAGTAATAAGCTTAATATTTCTTAGTATTTATTTTAAGCTTAATTCCAAAGCTTCAGTGGGTATCCCCTTATTCTAATATTCAAGGTTTGGGTAAATAATAATGTTCATTCGTGACTGTAAACATTTGATTATATCGTTTTCCCCTTAAGTAGCTGTAGTCTTTTTGCTTTGTCTACAAACAGCAACTCCAAATTCCCTTAATTATTTTACTTGTTACCCACCTCACATTCTTTAGAGTCAATATCTCATTTTTGAGATGTGATGAATTTTATGTGGTGTCCCAGTGTGGAGAACTGTAAAAGGGTAGTATGGTGTTACCTATTTTATTTCCAAAATGCTTTGTAAAGATGCCGAACATATAGGTGTCTGTTTTGATCTCAGCAGACAAACCAAGATAATTAAAGGAATTATTTCCAAGAATTTTATTCCATTTTCAGGACTCACTAAATTTGAGGTTGTTCTCTACTTAAATACAGGAGGATATTAGGAAGACGGAGATAGAAATAAAAGTAAAGAGCAACTAGGTAATAGCTCAAGTCTTTCACGCTTATTTTTTGGTCATTTTTTCAGAGAAATAAAGGGCACGGCTAATGTAAAAGTATTTTTCATTTATATTTCTAAATATTGTTTTTAACAGATAAGTCTTAGATTAAAATTTTAGCCAAAAATAAGTCATAGGAGACAGCCTATAATGATTGGTATTCCACAATCATCAGTGTATAACTTTTGGTTCTTGCAGGTCGCATTTCTGTGCCTATTGATTTACAGAAAGTGGATCAGTTTGATCCATTTGCTGTTCCAACCATAAGGTATGTTCCAGATCATTGTTGACTCCTTTCTTGTTTGCAACTGTTGTTCTGAATGTGAAGTAGATTGGATTAGATCCCTTCCAGCTCGAGGCTATTGATGATGCCCTAGGAGAACATTTGCTAGTGAGTTCCACAGAACACAAGTTTTTCAGCTGCTGTTATGCAAGGAAAAGATTTTAAGTTCAAATAAGTTTGGGAACTGCTGACTTAAACAGATTAAAAGTTCTTTACTGCAAGATTTCCCAGCCTTTAATAGGCTAATGTGTGTGGAAAACTCCCAGAAGAGATTATGGTTTTTAGAATATCCCGAATTTAGTTGGCCACATAATTTTATCACAGAAAATCTTGTAGGATTCACACGCTGTCATACACTGGGTAATGTTGACCAAGAACCAGCTTTAAAATTCTCTTATTCTATTATTTGTAGCTCTATCTGCCATGAATTGGATGCCATTTTCACTAGTGAAGCGGAAAAAGAGGAGAACCAAGCTGAATCTGACATCAAACATAGAACCAGAGGTAGGTTGATATATGGAAGTGTCACTTTAACATAAGCTTTTTATATAGACATCCTTCTGTCACTCCAGTAATTAATTCTCCTTGGATTCAGCCCAGAGGGGATCAATGTTTATCCTGAAACCAGCTCAGTAACAAATAATGTTATAGCATTGCTTCTGTCCTGTCTTCATCAATTGCCCAAATGGTGCTGTTGAATCTAATTTGACTCAGCAGATATTTACTAAGCAACATCTATATGCCAGGATCTGTATTGTACAATTAAGTGGTCATTTGGTGTTAATAGTTGTTTGAATCTCATAGTCTTAGATTCACAGCTATTTATTTAACAATTACTATGTATGCAGTACTTCTGTTCTTTGTGGAGTTTTTTGTTTTTGTTTTTTAAAACATTTTATTTTTCCTTTTTCTCCCCAAAGCCCCCCGACACAAAGTTGTATATTTTTTTTTAGTTGTGGGTCCTTCTAGTTGTGGCATGTGGGATGCTGCCTCAGCGTCGCCTGATGAGCAGTGCCATGTCCATGCCCAGGATCTGAACTGGCAAAACCCTGGGCCACTGCAGCAGAGCGCGAGAACTTAACCACTTGGCCACGGGGCTAGCCCCCTTGTTCTTTGTTTTGGATGTATCCAGATGAGTGTTATGGTAAATATATGTCAAAACTATAATTGAATTGTATATTCAAGAATTTGAAGGAGGTAAGGGACTTATAAATCTTCCTGCTAATGGAAGTCAAATCTTATACCAATACCCAGGAGACGCTCAATAGCAACAGAGTCCAGTAATACTTTCTGTGATGATGGAAATGTTATGCGCTCCCCAACATGTAGTCACTAGCCACATGTGGCTTTTGATCACTTCAAATATGAGACTAGATTTTTAATTTCATTTAATTTTAATTTAAATAGCCACATGTGGCTAGTGACAACTGGAATAGACAGTGCAGGTCTGTGATCTCTGATTGACCTTTTCGGTCAAATGTTGCTACCCTTCTTTCAAAACCCAAGCTCAAATATCACTTCATCTATTCCAGCTCTACCATAATACCTAAACATAGTACATTCCACTATTAATGTTTGTAGAGTGATTACGTATTCTGTTTAAAATATCTGAATAAGTCTCCAACATGAAAAATCAGAATAACCTGGAAAAAGGAACTCAGGGAAAACAGACAATGCAAGAAACAAAGGAAAGCTTTTTTTTAAAAAACGAATATCGTCAGAGAATAAAAGATAGTGCATCCAGGGGCTGGCCCTGCGGCTGAGTGGTTAAGTTCGTGCTGCAGACGGCCCAGTGTTTCGTTGGTTCGAATCCTGGGCACGGACATGGCACTGCTCATCAAGCCACGCTGAGGCAGCATCTCACATGCCACAACTAGAAGGACCCACAACGAAGAATATACAACTATGTACTGGGGGGCTTTGGGAAGAAAAAGGAAAAAAATTTAAAAAAAAAAAAATCTTAAAAAATAAAAAAAAAAAGATAGTGCATCCAGGAAGCAAGATCATAATGCTATGAAAAAGAAACACTCAGATAACAAGAAAGAGGTCTTAAAAATCAAAAACATAACCATTAGAACAAAAAAATTCAATGGAGGGACCAGCCCTGGGGCCTAGTGGTTAAGTTTGGTGCACTTTACTCAAAGGCCCAAGTTCCGTTCCCAGGCATGGACCTACACCACTCATTGGTGGCCATGCTGTGACAGTGGCCCACATACAAAATAGAGGAAGACTGGCAACAAATGTTAGCTCCAAGTGAATCTTCCTCGGGAGAAAAAAAAATTCAATGGAAGGGTCAGAAAAGAAAAGTTGAGATTTCCCAGAAAGTAGTACAAAAAAGACAAGTTTGTTGTTGTGGTTGTTTTAAGGAGGAAAAAGATAAAGAAAATTAGAGGTCTGTTTCAGGAGGTCAAATATCTGACTATGGAGTTTTAGAAAAAGAACAAATAAAAAGGAGGAGAAATTATATAGGAAAACATCTCAGAAATGAGTCCTTGATTGAAAGGACTCAGCATAATATGAAAACAGACCTACACCAAGGCACATCATTTTGAAATTTCAGAACAGTAAGAATTAAGAAAAGATCTGAAGAGCTTTCAGACCCCTTCCTACTACCCCTCCCCCTAAAAAAGCCACAGACCTAAGAAGAATGGCCTCAGATTTCTAAATAACAATGGAAGTGTTCAATAGTTAGAAGTAGGTGCTAGAGAAGAAAAAGTGGTTGCTATGCAAGAGGATGGAGAGGTTAGAATTAGGGCAAGGACTGCTCTTTTTTCCATTCATTATAAACCTGTTGGTACCATTTAACTCTTTTTTTAAAAAGTGCAAAACTTATATTACTTTAACACAATTCTTTGAGTGTAATGTCTCTTTGTGGACATCTTTTTCGTTTGTTCAGACATTTAAAGGAAGCAAGTTTTGGTTCCTTATAAGGAGAAATTTCCTAATAAATATTCCTGTTCAAAAATACACTGCAGTGCCTATCATTTCAAGTATTCGTAAATAGGCTAATAGCCTTCAGTCAGTCAGGGATGCTATAGAGGAAATGGGAGGTTGGAATAGGTGAGATGTAAGTTCCTTATTATCTCTTTAGTTTCTGTGATTTTAGCCGTTGCCCTTTTTCACATTAGTACCATTTATTCCTTCCCTTCTACTTCCCAAATCCTGGAATGTTCTCCACTCTCCTCTCTATCTGATTATATCTTTTTTCTAAGACCCAGTTCATAGCCACCTCAACACTGATTGGGCAATTCTTTGGACTCCTAATTATCCATATGCCGTTTTGGCCTTTAATTATATATTATTTTCTATTACTACATAAGAATTTGTGTTTCCAATTCATTTGAAAACTTCTTGAGACCAAGTAGTATGGCTTAGACTTTTTTAGAATTTAGCATAGTACTTAACATATAATAGGCAGTTAGTAAATATCTGTTTAAATAATTATTGAGTGCCTATTATATATTCCACAGTGGTGAAACAAACATACAGACCTACATCTAAGGAGCTTACAATCTTGCATTAAAGGTTCAAAGTACTACGTGGTTGATCCCAAACTAACCTTTTTTTGGTATGAGTTTATTTATTATAAGAAAATTCATATATGAAAATGTAGGACAAAGTTATAATGTACCTTCATAACTGCCACAGTTCAGATATTCCAGTCCCAAGTAAGTCAGATAACATTTACTAAAACTTTATTTTAAAGTATAGTGTTTTTTTTACTCTTCCGTGAACTATTATGAGGACTCTTAATTCCATGCAGACATAACAAAATACCAAAATCCAAATCTCATCCTGTTCTCAGATTTTCTTCCCTTATTGGCTATTAATTATAGATTATGTAATTAAATGGATGATTAAGATTCTGTATTCAAAATTTTATTATGTACATGTTTAGACTATAAATCAAAGAATACCTGTTCTTCATGCACTGTGACTATAAATTTCTAATAGTCTCAAAAGGCATGGCCCTGACTTCACATTTTTAATGTTTTGCTCTGTTGGCAAAGCTATTTATTATTGAAGCCACAATTTTTAAAGAAAAGAATGTTGGGTGAGACTTAACACATAGCAATAGGTTATATTAATCTAATATTAGAGGTCCTGACTACTAGAGTAGATATGTGCGTGTGGTTTGGCAGTTTTAGAGCAGCATTGTCTAATACACTAGCCGCATGGGGATATTAAACACTTGAAATGTAGCTAATATAACAAAGGAACTGATTTTTTTTAATTTAATCTTAATTAATTTAAATTTAAAAACTGACACTCAATTCAATCATTGGAAAACTTTTAAGTATATTTGGAAAGCTTGGATATATGAGCCTACTTTTTCAACTGTATATTTTATAATTTATATGTAAATATGAATCAGATATTTCTGATGATATACATCTAAATTGAGGTGTACTTTAACTACAAAATGCTAGATTTCAAAGACAGTATGAAAGAGAAAGTACAATATTTCCATTTTTATTACATGTTGAAGTGATAATTTAGATATCCTGGGTTAAATAAAATATATTAAAATTATCTTCACTTTTTTTTTTTGATTGGCCCTGAGCTAACATCTGTTGCCAATCTTTCTTATTTTCTCCCTTCTTCTCCCCAAAGCCCCCCAGGACATAGTTGTATATCCTAGTTGTAGGTCCTACTAGTTCTGCTATTTGGGACACCACCTCAGCATGGCTTGATAAGTGGTGCTAGGTCCACGCCCAGGATCTGAACTGGGGAAACCCTGGGCTCCCGATTAGCACACAAACTTAACCCCTTGGCCACAGGGCTGGCCCTTAATTTCACCCTTTTAAAGTGGCTACTAAAGTGTTTAAAATTACACATTTCTCACAGCATTGTTCTAGAGAATTCTTACAAGAAACTTAAAGTTATACTTTCCTGTTATTCCTGCTGCCAAAACGCTAATTATAATGCATGTCTTCATAAATTAGATTATAAGAAGACCAGCCTAGCTCCTTATGTAAAAGTTTTTGAACAGTTTCTTGAAAACCTGGATAAATCCCGAAAAGGAGAACTTCTCAAGAAGAGTGGTAAGACTGTACACCTTTCCCTTTTAGCTGTTTGGATCTTAGCATGGGTAGTTTAAAGCATCCAGCAAGTGAGCAGTTCTAGAGCTCTGGTCTTTGCTCTCCCAAAAAAAGTTAGTGATTATATTACTATCCTTAGGGTTTTTGAAAATTGAGCTTCCTTAATTCAATTCAACACATATTCATTCAACTCCTTCTATTTTCTGAGGTACTATGAGGGAGACAAAGATGAATTATACAAAGATGAATTCCCTACCTTGCCTCCCTGCCTATTGGAAGTACTAACTGGTACAAAACAAAGATGCCAAGAAAATGCTGAGAAAGAGATCTCATCTCATTGAGAGAACCAGAGAAGATTTCATATGAAAGGGGTGGTATCTGAACTCTTTCCAGTGAGCTGCTATACAAATTCTAATCCCCAATGCCAAAATACCATGCCTTGAGGCATGAGTAAAATTTCTACAAGCAGAGATTTGATGAGATAAGAGTACAGGAGTAGAAAAAGAAGACAGGTGGTTCATTCTTGAAGGAACAGCAGGAGCAAAGGCATAGAGGCAGGAAAGCATTGGGTCACTCTGGAGGCCATTGAGTAGTACAGCTAATCTGGAAAGAGATGTGTCAGGAAGTGATGGGATAGAAATCTGAAGAAGCAGATGGGAAGCCAGAGTACAGATGGCCTTGAATTCCATACAGTCTTAGGAGTTTGGGACAGGGAAGCTATTAAAGGTTTTAGAGGAAGAGAGTGCCATGATATGTAGTTTTATTTAGAAAGATAAATCTAGCAACAATACATCTAGGGATAGAATAGAGCCCAAGAGACCAAATGGGCTATTACCATTAGGACAGCAACACTGGAGAGCTCCATAAGGTGCAAATACTGGGGCCATCCTTGAGACTTGGTAATGATTTGGAAGTGGAGAGATGAAAGATGGAAGTAAAAGAGTCACAGAAGCCAGGGGAAAGGAAAGTTTCAGAAGATTATCAAGGGTCAAATGCAGTAGGGAACTGATAAAATCCTTTTGGATATAGGAACTAGAAGGAGGTGCTAAGAGGATAAGCAGTGTCAAAGGAAGAGTTCTTTAAATAGGAGAGTCCTGAGCATGTGTGTAAGCCAAAAGGAAAAAAATCAGCAGTGGATATTATTGAAGAGATTGATAGATACCACAGAACACTGTGGCAACGTTAAAGAAATGCAAACTCCCTTTCCACTTCATTTTGAATAAAATGTGTGTGGGTTAAAGAGTAGTGACTAAGATAATGCTCTAGTCATAGCAGACACTCAAATATGTGCCTATTGAATGAACAACGATGACTGTGAACTTGGAAAGCCTTGTTGAAGCTGCCATTCCAACTGGCCATATTAAGTCCTTTGTATTCTTGTTCTGTGCTAGCTCAGCCTACAATGTGGGCTTCAGCAAATGTGAAAGCAAATCTTTATGCATGATGTGAATTTAATGGAAGCATTAAGCAAATCAGAAAGTGAAAATAAACAGGCTTTGTTTTGTTTTCCTTCACTATCCTTTGATAAAAATCTATTTTATTTTAGATTTACAAAAAGACTTCTGAAGATAACAACACCCCTCAAACCAATGTGGATATCTTCTACCTTCAACCAAGAATGAAATACTTCAAGAGCTGTTTAATAAAATAAGGCAGAACCATGTATGTGTCGTAATGCTCAAAGCAAAATTGCCTTTTCTTCAGAAATAATTATGTTGAAAAGATTCCTGAGACCACCCAAGGAGAGTGTCTAGGTTCCTGGAAGGAGCAATAATGGTAGGAATAAGTGGATTGCAGATAAATTTGTAAAATTTAATATTATACAAAGATAATTCTAAGATTTCTGATACAAATACTCACTCTACCAGTTGCCATATATAGAGGTAAGTGAGCAATAATATGCCCAAGACTGGATACAGCCTCCATATTTCTGGAGCGAATACTCTAGGTGAAAGAGAGCTTTGTCCTTAAGTCTTAGACACTTAATTATACCTGGAGTATGTATTCAGTCACTCCCTAATTTTGCTTACTGGTATTTTTATTGGTCAGGCCACACCTCACTGCCCATCTTTTAAAAATCACTGTAAACTGCCCTTCTAAACCTACCAAACCTTCAATTCAAAAGATATGAGTTACTAGATTACAATATTAGGACCTAGTAGAGTATTTTTTTACAACTATTAGAATTGTAGCTCCTAACCTTTTCCCTCAGAGAACAACTGGATTAGTCTAGCCTGTAAAGCAGCAGCTTAGAAAAAAATAACCAGCTTCACCAACATAAAACCTCTTGTACTTGTCAGAACACTTGGACTTTCTACATATCTGCATACTTAAATTTAATTTTAAAGGTTTTGGTTTTTCCATATTTGCTTTTGTTTGATAGATTCTGAAGTGTCAGATTTCTTTGCCTGGTTTTACAAGCAATCTAAGCAAAACAGTCATTCTGGTTTACATTCTGTCTTCTGAGAAGCAAGCTATCAGACTGGTGCTTCTGTGATTTATGAAAATTTTCCTTCTGGGGCCGGCCCCGTGGCCGAGTGGTTAAGTTCGCACACTCTGCTTCGGTGGCCCAGGGGTTTTCCCGGTTCGGATCCCGGGTACAGACATGGCACTGCTCATCAGGCCATGCTGGGGCAGCGTCCCACATAGCACAGCCAGGGGCACTCAGAACTAGAGTATACAACTATGTACTGGGAGGATTTGGGGAGAAAAAGAAGGAAAAAGAAGACTGGCAACAGATGTTAGCTCAGATGCCAATCTTTAAAAAGAAAATTTCCTTCCTTTGCATTTCCTTTAACATCTTTTCTCTATAGCCACAGTCTTTTTTTATCTTTTGGTTTATATAAAACAGACTCTGTCATGCAGTCAACATACTGAAATGCCTTGCATTTCTTTCTCTCTTCTAATTTTTTAAGAGGAAATATTAAAGACTTGTGCAAAATTCCTCTTTATTTGAGCTTGTTTACTATGTATTCAATCTTCAGGTTCAGAAAATAGTGGGTCAATTAAAACTCCTGAATACAACATTACTAGAGACTCCTTAGTCCATGTTAAAAACTCAAAATGAGAGTGGGAAGATTGCTATTATGCTTTCAGCAAGAGATGTTTTAAGCTTCAACTGTGTCTGGCATTAAAGTATTTTAATGCTTTAATATGAAAGCCATTGGATAAAAGCTGCTATACTAGCCCATAAAATTAATTACACAGCATATTGTGCTTATGTAAAAGAGTAAACGTTGGGTTCTTGAAGATAGCAGAAACATGCTCAAAGACCATCGGCTTCCCTATTCTCTGATTTGCCAGCTCATCCATATATGAGAATTCTAGAAAGAAAGGGCACAGAACTGGTTTCCAGCTCCAAACTCGCCCAGTTTATAAAGAAACCCAAAGAAAGAAAATACATCCATCCTTAACTAGTCATTAGCAACAGGGAGTTAGAAGTTGGTGGGGCTTCCTGGAAAAGAAAAGGGAATGGTCAAAATGTAGTTTTATTTGTCTAAGGAGATGATTGGTGATTGCTGGCCCTTCTGAAGGTAAATGGACTGCATTGACAAATCTTCCAGATCGCTCACATACTTAAGTAGAAATTCTCTCTACAATGTTAACAGTAACAATAAGCACGTTTTAAGTAATGTACATAAATTACCTAATTTAATCTTCCTAACAGTTCTATAAAGTAGCTGCTATAATCCCCGTTTTATAGATGAGGAAACACAGGCACCAGTAGGTTGATTAAATTGCCTAAGGTCACTATTAGGCAACCAAGCTGAGGTTCAAACAAAGGAGGGTGGCTTCAGAGTCCATTTTCTTTATCACTCCCTGATAACTGCCTCTCCTACCTGAAGAGAATTTCAGTTTCTCATTCCTGGTAAACCCTGCTATCTCGTTTAATCCTAATTCACTCATCCTAATCCTCTCTTCACTATGGTGAAGATCTCAGAAATTTTAAAGTAGCTTCCAGAGCATTCTAAGTGTTCACTGCTTCCCTTAAAAGGCAGGCAGAGCTGTCTTAAAGCCATTAGCTCAAATGGTGTTAGCTGGTGTAGGTAATATATTTGTTGAGTCCTTTTTGTAGGGCTGAGAGAGGATTTAGGAGTTCAGACACAAAGCCTTTAGTTAACAAAACACTGATTTTACATTCCACTTTTCAAGAATCTTACTGTATAAAGCACGGGCTCTTAACGTGGGGTCCTAGACCTCTAGAATGTATGCGTTTCAGAATATCTAAGAAGTGTCCAAAGTTACAGGCAAAAAAATTGTATATGTGCCTATATTCTTTTTCCCAGGGAGGGGAATCTATACCGTTATAATAATTTCAGCATTGGTCTAAATTGTGTATTCCAAAAATAAAATATTTGAGGTTTAACCTAGGTCACTGCTACCTTCCAATGGTGGGCATACCATCCCTGTGGTATTTCGGTTTTTTTGCCAAGGAAGATTCGCCCTGAGCTCACATCCTTGCCAATCTTCCTGTATTTTTTTAGGATGTGCGTCGCCGGCACAGCATGGCCGCTAACACAGCGGTGTTGGTGGGCGCCCGGAACGGAACCGGGGGCGCCGACCTTCACCACTAGGCCACCGCGGCGGGCCCCCGGTATTCGACATTAGTACCTCTTACTTTCCTGCATTATCTGAGAAAGGAAATCAGGAAGTCTTAATGATACCGCTGTGGCTACGTGGCTGACCGGTGCGCAGACGTTGCCCCTCGTCACAGTTTCCCTTCGAGTATCAGCGATGCCTCCACCAGGGGGACGGCAAGGGGCGGCTTTCTGAGGACTGCCTGGCTCCCGGCAGACTTCCGGCCAGGCCGGCGCATCCCGTTCTGAATTCCTACCCTTATTTAGGCCTCGTTACCGCCCCGTCCGGGAACAGCAGGACGACCCGCTCTATAAAGGAAGTGGCTGCGGGCGGCTCCTGACCCGGAACCGCATCGCGGCCCCGCCCCCTCCGCCAGGCTGCCTTCTGCAACAGGCGTGGGTCACGCTCTCGCTCTCTCTCTCTCTCTGCCGCCATCTTGGTTCCGCGTTCCCCGCACAGTAAGTGCTATCCTCGCCGCTTCTCTCTATCCGCAGCCATCCGCCCTTCTTGTGAGCTAAGGCGCCCCGGGGACTGAGAGCTAAGGAGAGTTGGAGGCTTTACGAGGCCACCGGCTTCCTGCTTGGCCCTGGGAAGTGTGGCCTTGGGGCCTCCGGGCAAAGTGAGATCTGCGGTTGGTGTCCTGACAACAGCAAGGCAGGAGGGCCGTGGGCCGTGCCCGGGGGTCCGGGGGTGGGGAGATGGGAGCCGCTGCGGTGTCGGGGGCGGCAGCGGAGTGCGTCCGCTGTCGGGAACGGCCTGACGAGAACCCACGGGAGGTGAAGGGGTCCCAGCCTTGGGACCCCCACACCGTCCTTATCGCGACAAGCGAGTGTTGGGACTCAGGTCCTCCCTGTGACCCCTGGTTCCCGAAACGCGGCAGACAGGGGTCCTGGAGGCCCCAGCCCCGGCAGCGTGGGTGCGGGAGGGGAGGTGGTTCCGGGCAGCGGCCGGGAGCCAGGCGCGGAGGCTGCCCTCGCGCTGAGGACCGGGCGAGCGCGGCCTTGTGGGCAGACCGGCCCCTGGGCCCGTGGAGGCCGCTCTGCGGAGGGAAGAGGAGGTGGAAGGAGGGCATTCGCTTGACAGCCCTGGGGCTCGTGTCAGACTCTCGTCCCTTCCCGCGGCTTTGGGGAGGGTTGTCCCCGGTCACCTTTATGACTTTGTTTCTTAACAGTCGTCCGCAGAGTTTTTAAGAATACCCGGCTCTAGGTTGGGCAGCAGAACGGATCCCAGTCGATTCAGGCCTCCTTTTATTCCCTTCTTCCAGAAATGCCCGGTGAAGCCACAGAAACCGTCCCTGCTACAGAGCAGGAGTTGCCACAGCCCCAGGCTGAGACAGGTAGGCTCCGCTAGCCCCCTGGCCCTTAGTTAAGATCGTAAGGTGACCCTAAGATCACTTGGTGCGTGAAGGGGCAATGGGAAGAGACTTGTGTCCTTCGGAGTTGACGCTCCTTAAAGAAGATCGGGCTGTGGCTTTACGAGGGAGGAGCGTCCGTACTATTAACTGCTGCGCTGGAGGGACTTCATTACGGAGTGGGGTAAAAACAGTATGTTTGACATTGACAGCTCCCCGGCCTGCTTTGTGGGTATGGCAGCTGCCTCCCAGGGGCTCTGCTGTGGAACGCTCACCTCATGTGGGAATGTGAGCGGGGAAGGGGCCCGGTGATGCTCACCTGTTGGAACTGGATGACACACTGGCGGCCAAGGAGACCTGAGCTTTTGTGGAGTTCCCGCCAGCAGGTTGCATCCAGGTTTTAGATGGCAGTGCTCGGCGTTGTGCCCACATCACACGTCAGAGTGAGCTGTGCGCTGGTGGCAGATGTGTCCTGCTGGGCCCCAGGGCCCTGCGAGGTTGGTTAACTTGTTTTCTGGATTGGTGCCGAGATGTTTCTGTGTGCTGGAATAGTGCCTGCATCAGCAGCTTGTCTGGAACCCAGGACTGAAGTGCAGCCTTCCATTGACTGCTCCTCGGCTTTGAAATTAATGGATGTAGAACGTAGGCTAAGGCAAGTTTGGAATTCTGGTTAAACTACTCCTCTATGAGACTTGAGAGGGGTAATGAGAAGATTTTGGATGATGGTCTTCTTGCTGAGTCAGTTGTGCAGAAGGAAACGAAGGGCATCTTCAGGCTGTACCCTCCACCCTCACGTATTTTTCTTATGGTAAATTTAGTAATTTTTTTAAACTCCGCTTGTCACTTAAGGGCAATTTTTGTCTTCTTCTGGAATTAAAATAGAGTTGTTTATCGTTGAAAGCGTTAAGGTTCACCCTCCCCACCTGTCTGATTGTGGCAGCTGAAGGGATTAATACAGCTGCTAGAAAAGAAAAAGCAGGGGGCCTCTGAGCTGGAGAATGAGCTCTGCGAAAACCTCGAACTGCCAGCGACTTCAAGCAAAGGGAAAAATAAGACTGGCCTCTAAAGATCCTGTGGTTTCAGTGCTAAACAAAACCTTAGAAATTCTCATTGAAAAACTTACTTTACAAATGTGGACACTGAAATTCAGGTGAATTTAAAATAATCTCGTTTCAAGCTTCCAAGTTAATGCCATTTGCTCTGGAAGCAATCTTTACATGGTGCTTTTAAACTGATTCCTGAAGAGTTTGACATTGCATAGTAGGTTTCATCATAATATTAAGGGAGTACCAGTGATAAACACTTGGAAATTTTTCCTATAATTCAATAATTTCTAGAATGAATGAGAAAAGTAGCTCAGGGAACTGGTTTGGGGCCTTATCACATCTTGAGGTCCAGTCAGAGGAAAACATTCTAAGTTTCAAGTTCTGCTTAATATGTTTGAAAGCACATTTGCACTGTAACCATAAGACTTTGAGCTGCCAACTCTCCAGGAAAAACTGGTTGAGCCACCTGTCTCGTCTGTAGGAGGATACTCTGAAGAACTTCGGATGCTATGGTTTTTTGGTTTTGTGTTTTGTTTTCTTAATATGCCTAGGTGTTGAGCATTTGTTGGTCTAATCCTGTGTTATCTCCTGAGTAGTAAGCATGATATTTTTCCATTGTTCAGAACGTAATTGCTTAGCTTTACTCTAGTGCCAAATACTGGTCTATTTTGGCAGAATGACATACTTGTCCAGGTTAAGGGGTGGGGATCCAATGTGTTCTCTCCACTCCAATTTCCTGCTTCCAAAATAGAGCCACAGTCTGGTTTAACAAGTTGGGTTACAGTTTCATGACACAGTCCCTAGCCCTGTGACTACGCTCTCTCCCTGGCAGTCTCAGTCATCTTAGATGGATGGCTGCAGAGCTAACATGCCTGGGAAGGTCTGTAGAGACCACTGAGTCCAGCCCGTTTGTGGTTGGTTTTTTGTTTGGGGTGAATAGGTAAACTGAGGCATAGGGAGGCTAAGTGACTTAGTATTTCCTATTTAGTATTAAATTCTGAAGAGTTTCGACTTGAGGAAGAATGGAGTTGTGCCAGACACCCCTTCCTAAAACTTTATTCTAAGAGTTGGATTTTTCCTGGCCCTAGTGGCAGCCTGAGCACGTGACACCTCTTCTTTTCTCCTTCAGCTCTGATTGCCCATCATTAGCACCACCCCCTACCTTCCTTGTCCCAGTTTGCAGTATCTGTTTCCATTAGTTCATGCTCCTTGGGTGAACAGGATAGAACAGCTGTTTGTCTAATGGTGATTCTCTGGCCGGTGAGAAGGACTTGAGGTTCATTTGAGGAGGGAGGGGAGGGCACAGCTGGGAAAGGGTGGAAAGCATGCTGTTCCCAACCCACTCCTGGGCCTGTGCTCCCCCTTTAGACTGATAGGCTGCTTTGACACTGTTTTCTCCACCCGAAAATCATTGGCTTATTTTGGTAGAACTTGGGAGATGAGGAGAAGGATGTATTCTTACTTGACCCCTGAAGGATGTTTGGGGAAGGTTGCTGTTGCCTGTCACTGTTGTCTAATCCTGTGTGGTGACTTTCGTTCTCAGATTAAAAATTCCAGTGTTTCCTGTGAGGCATGTTGTACCAAGTTGGGCTGCATAACTCACGTTTGTTTTTTTCCTTCCTTTTCCATCCCCTTTTGCTTTTCTCCTCTAGCTGTGCGTTCTCTGTCTTCAGCTTTGAGTGTCACTGCTGCCTTAGGGCAGCCTGACCCTGCCCTTCCCCCTCCATCCTCCCTGGCCCCCCAACACTGCCCTCTGGCAACCCCTAACCAGCCTCCCCCCTTCCTTTCTCCCTCTGCTGTTGCCTCCACCCCTTTTGAAGCTCCTTTTCCCCAGTCATCCTCTGGGATAGCCCTGCCTTTGGGATCTGCCCCTTCCCTCCCTGACACCCCAGCTTTCCTGCCAAACCTAATGGGGCCTCCCATCTCCCCAGCTGCCTTAGCTCTGGCCTCTCCCATGATTACTCCAACTCTGAAAGGTGCGCATTCCTCTTCAGCTCCCTTGGCTCTTGTGGCCTTGGCTCCCCACTCAGTGCAGAAGAGTTATCCACCTAATCCTCTTAGTGCACCTCCTTCAGTTGCTGAGGCTCAGTCAGGGTCAGTGAGATCTCTGCCAGCTCCCATTGCCTCCCCAGAACCACAGGCCTCTCCTATTCAAGCTCCCTCTGAAGTAGTCCCTGGTCCAAAAGGTACTCCCATTCCTACAGGTATAGTCAGTGCTGTTCCTTCCCATTTTATAACTCCATTGGCCTCTGTTCAATCTGGAGTAGCCTCGTGTCCTCAAACACTACCTCCCACTCCCCTAACCATCACTTCCTCTCAGGTCAAAGGCATCCCTGTTTCCTCAGCTCGGACTTCTCCACAAAACTCTCTAAGCCTCAGCCTAAAGGGACCACTTAGTCCACCTGCTGCCTTATCTCTTCCAACTGAGACTATTCCTGTGACTCCCAACGTTCCCCCAGTTTTCCTCACTTCTTTGGGCTCTAATCTTGCACCTTTACATCAGAGTTCTCTTGGTTCTCCTGCCCAGCCTTCAAGTCAAACAGGCTCTAATGTTCTGTCAGATCCTATAGGGCATACCATTTCTGGAGATCATTCTTCTATCGGGGTCTCTTACCCTTCTCAGAGGTCTGTAATTCCTCCCCTTCCTTCCAGAAGTGAGGTGGTTCCTGCTGCTGTGGCTGATTTTCCAACAGGGGCTCCAGCTCCCCCTCTGGCTCTGTCTGTTGACAAAGGCCCCTCTACCATCACGTGCATAGCTTCCTGCAGCCCTTCTGGCTCCTCACATTTAGCTCCATCTTCTCCATTATCTCCTACAGCCCCTCTCACTCTCAAAGGCTCTCCTAATGCCACTCATCATCAGCCTTTGGTGGCCCAGTTTCCTGCTGCTTCTCCAGGGAGTCCAGGCTTGAAAGAAGCTCCTGTTTCTTCTGTTGGAACCACCCCACTTGTGATGACTAACCTCTCTACAATTTCTGCAACATCTACTACCTTTGAGGTAGCTACTTGTGTGTCTCCAGTTTCATCGGGTCCTATAAGTAAGGATTCAGCTTCCCCTCCTGTCTTGGGTATGGCGCCTGTGGCTCCCGAAGAGCTTCCTACTCCTCAAGTAACAACCACTCTAGGGATACCAGTCTCTCCTTTGCCAGCCTCTGAGGACCCCAAAAATCTTTCTGCTTCAGTACTAGTAAAGTCTCCAACACAGCAAGATCTCCAGACTGTACCTGCCTCTCCTGTAGGAGCCCCTGTTTCACCAGCCCAGGCAGGACTCCCTACCAAGAAAGACCCTACTCTACTACCACTGGCCCTGGCAGCACCTAAAAGTTCCCCCTCTCCCCAAAGTACATCTTCTTCTCTGGAGATGGCTCTTTCTCCTGAAGCCACCTTAGCAAAGAAAAGCCTTGTAGAGCCTGTCCCTGTGGTTAAGCCAGCCAGTGCTATTCCCTCTCCTCTGGGTGTTAGCTCCTTAACTTCTATAATCAAGACAGATCCTTATGCAAGCACAGACCCCACTGGTCTGCCTCTCAAAAGTTCTCTCACTACCCCACCTGTAGCTACATTTCCTTTGGGAAGTGCTGCCACCACTGAGGTGGCTCCTACAACTGCCAAAGTTACTTCCACTCCTACAACTACAGCCAGCCCTTTTCTAGAAGGAGGTATCTCTTTAGCTCCTAAAAGCCACCCAGCCAAGAAGGGTACTTCTGCTCTTACTACTTTACCTTTGGTTCCTCCAACCTCTGAAAGTTGCCCTGTGGCTCCACCTGTGACTTTATCCCTCCAGAATGATTCTGCTTCTCCAGCCACTCTGTCACTGGCCCCTGAAATTCCCAAGTCTGACCCTTGTCCCTCTCTTCCCCCAGCTGGTGCTCCTCCTCAAGGTGCAAAGAAAGTTCATGGTATCTCTCATACCTCAGCTTTGGCACCTGTGGCTTCCTCTCCTGAAGGGTGCCCAACTGAGGACCTTGGTGCTTCTGTTACTGCATCTCCCAAAGGACCTTACTTAGCTGACTCCCCATCTCCTTTAGGGACTAGTGTGTCTCCTCAGACTACAAGACCTCCAACCAAGGAAGGTTCAGCTACTTCTGCTACTCCCTTAACTCTTGATCCTTCTCTTTCTAAATGTGTACTTGCTATCCCTGATACTTCCGCTGGAAATCTCTCATCATCTGTTTCTCCAACTGATGATTCCTTTCTTCCAGAGGCCAATCTTTCTTTTCAAGTCCCTAAAGGATCACTAGCCAAGAAGCATTCCCCTACTCCTCCTTCCCCCAAAGCGGGGATAGCAACCCCATCCCCTAAAGAGACCCCCACTCCCCTAGCTATAACTCCTTCTTCACCCAAAGGAGTCCCAGCAACTCCATCCTGGAAAGACTCTACAGCTGCCCCACCTCCCAAGGGGGCCCCCACCCCCCCAGCTGTGGCTCCTACCTCCCCCAAAGGGGGCCCAGCAACTCCATCCCCTAAAGAGACTCCCACTCCCCCAGCTGTGGCTCCTCCCTCCTCTAAAGAGGCCCCAGTCACCCCATCCCCTAAAAGAGCCCCCACTTCCCCAGTTTTGCCTCCTCCGTCTGGAAAAGGGGGCCCAGCAACCCCACCCCCTGAAGAGACCCCAGCTACCCCATCTCCCAAAGGAGCCCCTACTCCCTCAGCTCTGATTCCTCCCTCTCCCAAAGGGGCCTCAGCAATTCCATCTTTCAAAGAGACCTCCACTCCCCCAGCTATGACTACTTCCTCCCCCAAAGAAGCCCCAGGAACCCCATCCCCTAAAAAGTCCCGGGCTACCCCACCCCCCAGAGGGGCCTCCACTCGCCCTGCTGTAACTCCTTCCTCCCCCAAAGGGGTCCCAGCAACTTCATCTCCCAAAGAGACCCTCCCTCCCTCAACTGCAACTCCTTCTTCCCCCAAAGGGGCCCCAGCTTCTCCATCCCCTGAAGAGGCCTTGACTCCTCCCTCCCTCACAGGGGGCCCAGCAGCTGCAGTTGGCAAAGAGCCCTCAGCTACCCTATCTCCCAAACGGGCTCTAACAACCCCAGCCCCCAAAGAGCCCTCAGCTACCCCACCTTCCAAAGGAGCCCCAGCAACTCCGGCCCCCAAAGGGGCCTCAGCAACTCCAACCCCCAAAGGGCCCTCAGCTACCCCACCTCCCAAAGGGGCCCCAGCAACCCCAGCCCCCAAAGAGCCCTCAGCTACCCCACCTCCCAAAGGGGCCCCCGCCCCCAAAGAGCCCTCAGCTACCCTGCCTCCCGAAGGGGCCCCAGCAACCCCAGCCCCCAAAGAGCCCTCAGCTACCCCACCTCCCAAAGGGGCCCCAGCCCCCAAAGAGCAGTCAGCGACCCCACCTCCCAAAGGGGCCCCAGCAACTCCAACCCCCAAAGAGCCCTCAGCTATCCCACCTCCCAAAGGGGCCCCAGCAACTCCAACCCCCAAAGAGCCCTCAGCTACCCCACCTCCCAAAGGGGCCTCAGCAACTCCAACCCCCAAAGAGCCCTCAGCTACCCCACCTCCCAAAGGGGCCCCAGCAACCTCAGCCCCCAAAGAGCCCTCGGAGACCCCATGTCCCAAAGGAGCCACAGCAACTCCAGCGCCCAGAAGGGCCCCAGCAACCCCAGCCCCCCAAGAGCCCTCAGCTACCCCACCTCCCAAAGGGGCCTCAGCGACTCCATCCTCCAAAGGGGCCCCTACTCCCTCAGCTGTGATCCCTCCCTCCCCCAAAGAGTCCCCAACCCACAAAGGAACCTCAGCAACTTCACCCACCAAAAGAGCCCCAGCTACCCTATCCCCCAAAGGGGGCCCCTCTCCCCCTGTTGTGATTCCTCCTTCTCCCAAAGAGACTCCCAATTCCCCAGTTTCAGTCACATGTCCCTTGGAGTCCATTGCCCCTCAGGCATCTAAAGGGTCCCCGAAGAAGAAAGGCCCCACAGCTCTCAAAGCAGATGTTGCCCCAGCTCCAGAAAGTGTACCAGTCATCACAGCTCCCGCTCAGAAAGATCCACCAGCCAAGAAGAGTTCTGCTACTTCACCTACTGTGTGCCCAGATCCCTCAGCTAAGAATGGTACTAAAGGACCCTTTTCTACAGTAGCTCCAGCCCCTCTGCTGACGGTCTCCACTCAGAAAGGCTCTTCTCCAAAGACTCCAAAAGCCCTCCCTATTTCTCCCTTAAAAGGCAAAGATTCTGTCCATTCCCCAAAGGGCCCCTTAGCTCCTCCTCCTGAGTCTGAGACATCCACCCCTCTAGCAGCAGCAGCCTCTGAGAAGGTCCTTCCTAAAGCTGGATCCGCATCTGTCTCCCCAGCACCCACTCCATCAGTCTCTCTGCCTCTTGCACCCTCCCCAGTTCCCCCTCTGCTTCCTAAACAGCCATTTCTGCCGTCCTCACCTGGGCTGGTGCTGGAATCACCCCGTAAGCCCTCAGCCCCTGCTGATGAGGATGAGCTGCCGCCTCTGATTCCCCCGGAACCAATCTCGGGGGGAGTGCCTTTCCAGTCGGTCCTCGTCAACATGCCCACCCCCAAACCTGCTGGGATCCCTGCCCCAGCCCCCTCTGCCAAGCAGCCTGTTCTGAAGAACAACAAGGGTATTTGCCTTGGTTTGCTGTGTGCATGGTGTGTTGCCCACACCCCTCCTGGGGGCTACCCACCAATACTAACCCTAGGATGCGCCGCTTTCTCCAGTGTATCTGCTTGTGTTTGGACATAGAACATAGAATGAGAATTTTAAATGCAAGAGCTCTGGGAATGTGAAACAGAATCTTGGTTTTCATCACCTCAGATAGTCCATTATGTATCATCTTGTGTAACGTGGTCTAGACTAACCCTGGGTCTGCCATCTTTCTTACCTAACTGATCTGACATTGAAAACCAAGACCTACTAGACCTTTAATTTGCTCTAATCTCTACCACATCACTAACCTTGTCCCTGGGCCTGGAATTTGCTAAAATATTGGGAAATTTGGAAATATTTGAATTTCTTTTCACTTGTTAGGCTTAGTAATGACCAGCGCCCAGGGACTCCCTTTTCTTAAAAGACCTACTTTTCCTAGCCTGAGAATGGTGCAGTTGTATGCTTTTTTGCCTCAGTAGTCTTTACTGATGCTTAGCTTTCCAATTGAGGGAAACTTAAAATATATGAATTATGTTGGGAAGAAATGGGAGAGGTCACAGGACAGTATGTAGTAGAGGTGACTGTTAGAACTGTAGGTCGGCATCATTGCGAATCTTCGAGCTGTGTTGATTAGATCGAATTGCTCGGGTAAGTGGTTTGAAAGTAAGGCTAAAGGTGTGTACACAACTGCTTCTGGCCTCCCCCAACCCAGTTTAAAGGATGAGGGATAAGGCCCTCCCTGGCATGCCTCCACAATGTGATCTTATTGTTTTTTCACTTAAGTGTATCTGGAGACACCTTGTCTGCCAGAACCTTTCTGAGATGGTCAGGCTATTGGGTAGAATTTGGAGTTACATAGGTCACTGATGTTTGCCTGTGCCGAGGAGTGAAGACGTTGAGGCAAAGGAAGCAGTTAAAGTATATATACTGCTTGGCTGTGTCTAGTAATTACCTCACATTTCTGGGGCTGATTCTTTAATAGATGTGTACACACTAGTTTGTGACTAAGTTGGGGGCTGTCAAGCTGGCATCACATAAGTCAGTTGGTTTACATTTAGTTTTGCGAGGTCTAGCATAAGACAGTGACCTTTAGTCCAGGCAGGCCATGGTGAGGTGCCGCCTCCTCATAATCTCTACTGTAAAATAGTAAAAGTTACTTGTCATCTTAGGGTCTGGAACAGAATCTGACAGTGATGAATCAGTACCAGAGCTCGAGGAACAGGATTCCACACAGGCAACCACACAACAAGCCCAGGTGGGTATTCTCTTACTCACTGGCAGAATTAGTACAGTGAAGGAAACATGGTAGAACCAAGGTTGATAGAGAAGCCAACTTATGTATTTGGAGCTATGAACCTTCATAAAGGGAAAACTGCGTGTGGGATTGTGGTATCCAGGTTCCAGTTTATTTACAGTTGTTTTATCTTCTTAGCTGGCAGCAGCAGCTGAAATCGATGAAGAACCAGTCAGTAAAGCAAAACAGAGCCGGAGTGAAAAGAAGGCACGGAAGGTAAAATTTTAAGTTATGAACAAGGATGAAAGTTTCTGATGAAGCAACTTTAGAGAGGGAGGACCATAATGGAGCTCTTGGTAGTGGTAGAATCGTGTTTATTTAAAGTAGCAGAAGTTACTATGGCAGAAAACCCAGGAGTCCTGGAAGCCAATTCTGTATTCTTATATAAACTTTTCTTAGCCTGGGAAAAGGCTTTGCTTTGGATGCAGTGCTGTTATCTTCCTTACTTCCTAAAGCTACTTTTAATGAAGTTGAAAACCTGATGTTCTTTTCTATTCCTTAGGCTATGTCAAAACTGGGTCTTAGACAGGTTACAGGAGTTACTAGAGTCACTATCCGGAAATCTAAGAATATCCTCTTTGTCATCACAAAACCAGACGTCTACAAGAGTCCAGCTTCAGATACCTACATAGTTTTTGGGGAAGCCAAGGTAAGGGAAGTTTTCTTGGGAGTTGCTCTAGACCAGGCTTTCTCACCCTCAGCACTGTTGACATTTTGGCTCAGACATTTCTTTGTTGGGGAAAGGCTGTCCTATGCATTATAGTTGTTTAGCAGCATCACATCCAATTGTGATAACCAGAAAATCTGCAGACATTTGACAGATGTCCCTTGGGGGGCAGAATCACCCCCCTAGTTGAGAACCACTGCTTTAGGCTTAAATTATTTCTCTTTCTAGTAATAGATAATTTCAGTGAGGGCAAGCAATGTAAAGATAGATAGTAAGTTAACCTGAAGTGTGTTTACAGTGAGAGTTTGGAAAGGATATAAATTATTTTTTCATTTACTGCATACTGATCTACTCGCATGAATCTCTGTATTTTCTGCCCTGTAGATCGAGGATTTATCTCAGCAAGCACAGCTAGCAGCTGCTGAGAAATTCAAAGTTCAAGGTGAGGCTGTTTCAAACATTCAAGAAAACACACAGACTCCAACTGTACAAGAGGAGAGTGAAGAAGAAGAGGTATACAAGGAAATCTTTTATATTTTTAATCTTCTCCACATAGTATTGTGTTTGTATTAATGCGTAGATTCTGTATTGTTTTAGGCTCTTGAATCCATTCAGTTAAGGAGTTCTGAGTTATATTAAGAACCAGATTCAAGAGGCTCCTGACTCCAAAGAACTGCTGAAGTTGTTCTTGCCTTTAGTTTATTAAGTGTTTTTCCCTCTCTGTTAGGTTGATGAAACGGGTGTGGAAGTTAAGGACATAGAATTGGTCATGTCACAAGCAAATGTGTCAAGAGCAAAGGCAGTCCGAGCCTTGAAGAACAACAGTAATGATATTGTAAATGCTATTATGGTAAGCGTCCACTCCTTTATTCCTTGACTCCCTCTGCCTTGACTAATTATGGGTGACTTTATTTTCTGTGGTTAAAATCAGCTAATTAAGAGGCCTTATTCTAAAGCCTATTCTGAGTTGCCTCAGGTTTTAATGACCTAAATTCTCTCAGTTTACCTGTGGCTATCTCTGATGATCTCTTCTCTCTTTCAGGAATTAACAATGTAACCATCTGAAAATGAGGACCTTTTTTGGTGTTTCAAAAGAGTATCCGCGGCTTGGTTTGAAATTTGTACTGTTTCTATCATTAATAAAGTTATGGCTTCTTGTTGGATGAACTCAGTGGGTTCTTGGTCTCTTCCTCCAAGAAAGTGAGAACACATTTATTAATTAGTCTTAGGGCTTCAGCTTCAGTTGAAAAGGTTTAGTGCCACAGACTCCCCACTTAAAATCTCTGCCTTTTCACCTCTTGTCAGAAGGTATTGTCCTAGGCTGTTAGGACCTTCTTGTCTTCAGAGAATACAACTTAACTGTAAAGTTTCTTCTTTCCAATTTCTTTCCCAGATATTAACCGTTAGCAAATCCTGATTCTTCTTTCTTTAATAATCAACCCCTTCTCTGACCTACAGTCTCTCTGAATACATCGGCCCTCTGTGAGAAGCAGTTCACGTTAGTTACCTCTTGACATGTAAGAGCTTGGTTGGTACAGGGTTGGAGAGGGTGCATAATGCATGTGAGTGAAAAAACTACACTTTGTAGAAAATGGAAAGGTACCTCATGAAGGAGAGGATTTTGACTGTTGTATACAGTGCATTCTGCTGTTAGGCATACACTAGACAGACATTTTCGTCTACAAAGTAAATTATGTTAGGGTAGCCGTAATTATGCTAGTGGAAACCAGAACTGTACCAAGCAAACTGATACATGTGAGTAGTCAGTTTATGATATTGAGAGCTCTGTAGAAGTCTTAAGAAGAATAAAATTTCTTAGTTTGAGTTCTTAGAAAATGTTTTGGGGCAAAGCAAGACTAAAATTTGGAAATAGGAAAGCTACAAGTAAATGTAGAGGCAAGAATCCTAAAGTGAGTAAGTGATGGTATACCTAGAAAGAATGTTAGAATGAGAATAGATTAACATCGTGGAAGGCTTTTGGAACTAAAATCTGTTGCTGATCTTCCACCTTTTTTGGGGGGGTGGGGGGGATGTGGGATGCTACCACAGCATGACTTGATGAGAGGTGTGTAGGTCTGTGCCCACAATCCAAACCGCAGACCCCAGGCCACCGAAGCAGAGTGCACGAACTTAACCACTATGCCATTGGCCGGCCCTGAGTTCAGTCTTGATCCCTTGAGAGAGGAGGCATTATTTTAGTAGATATTAGTGAAAGCTGAGGACCAAAGAGGTTAAAGGACTCCCCCAAATTCAGTCACTAAACTACAGGGCCTTTTTGTTGGGGTCAGCTATCCTGGAGACACACATTGACATCTGGCTGAGAATGATGTGCTTCTGTTTCACTGGGGTAGAACCGATTAGATCATTTGATGACCAGAAGTCTCAGGAGGCTAAAGATGGGCCCCTTGACTACCAAATCTGAGTAAATCCAGTAATTCTTATTTCAGAAAGAAAGTTGGGGGTGTTGACTCCTGATTTCTTCACGCTTCCCTCTCAACAGAATTAACAAACTGCAATTCTTGGTTACTCGTAGCTTGTTCAAGGCTGTTCGTATCACCAGTGCTGTAGTGTTATTTCTCCCCACCCTGAGGACCTTGCTGTTGCCACCCCTTCTTTCCTTCTACCATTCACAGATTCCTTTCCCTCAACTGGTTTTCTGCCGCCACACTTGAATTGTATATGCAACTAACTTGTGTCACAGAATGATTACATATTTGTTTCTCAAATTAGCAAGTTTACAGTTTGAACAAACCTTTTGAAGAGGAATTATTCCTTCCTGGTTCTCAAACTGATTAAATGCCTGTGTTCAAATACTCAGTAGACCATTTAACAGTGATATCTTTAGGAACCTCTGACTTCATCTGTAAAACTAGAATTAATATTCCCAAAACACATAGAAGATTATTAGAAGCATTTGCTAAGACTCTGAAATTGGCACGGGTGGTTTACTAAATGATGGTTCTGATTTCTGAAGAAGGAAAAAACCTCGTGGGCTGGTTTAGTTAGTTAGCTATACTATCTCACCAGGCTTCTACCCTTCACTTAAAAACGGATTTTTGGGGGCCGGCCCCGTGGCCAAGTGGTTACATTCACACTGTACTTCGGCAGCCCAGGGTTTTGTCAGTTCGGATCCTGGGCGAGGACATGGCACCGCTTATCAGGCCACGCTGAGGTGGCATCCCACTAGAAGGACTCACAACTAAAAATACACAACTATGTACCAGGGGACTTGGGGAGAAAAAGGAAAAACAAAATCTATTAAAAATAAAAATGGATTTAATTGGGAAATACTTCAAATATGCAGATAAAAGTCTGTGTATACCTACCCCGCAGCTGTTCTTTTTAAGAAATTAAACATTAGACATACAGCTAGGGACCCCTGTATACCCTTCCTCAGTCCTATTTCCCTCCTTCAAAGGTACCACTGTCGTGAACTGGCATTTTGTAATTCCTGTACATGAGTTGATGCTCTTAATACATATTTATGTAGTCAAAGATGTTAGTGCTCTGCAGGTTCGAAAACTTTAAATTATGTAGTACGTACCTGTCTTCTGCAAATTGCTTTCCACTTCAACTTTTGTTTCTAAGATTTATCTGTGGTAAAGATGTAGTCCTATTCATTCCCTTTCCAGTCCACTGTAGTCTGGCTTTCACCTCTACCTCTCCACCAAATGGCTCTCATGAAGGCCAACCAGTTGGTAATTCCAGTGGACACTCTTCATGCATGGCTGCATTTGTCTTTCCTTCTTCAAATTAGTTCCCTTAATATCATTGCCTTGGTTTCTCTTAAGTCTGGTTCATCTTTAGTTTCAAGATACCCAAAATTAGTTCCATTAGGTACTGTATGTCAAAATTTTCCCAAGTGGGGACCAGCCTGGTATTGCAGTGGTTAAGTGCGCATGTTCCGCTTCGGTGGCCTGGGGTTCGCCGGTTTGGATCCTGGGTGCAGACATGGCACCACTTGGCAAGCCATGCTGTGGCAGGCATTCCACATATAAAGTAGAGGAAGATGGGCATGGATGTTAGCTCAGGGCCAGTCTTTCTCAGCAAAAAGAAGAGGATTGGCAGCAGATGTTAGCTCAGGGCTGATCTTCCTCAAAAAAAAAAAAATTGTCCCAAATGTATTTCTTTTTTTGGTGAGGAAGATTGGCCCAGAGGTAACATCTGATGTCAATCTTCCTCTTTTGTTGGGGGAAGATTGTTGCTGAGCTAACATCTGTGCCAAGCTTCCTCTATTTTGTATGTGGGATGCCGCCACAGCATGGCTTGATGAGCAGTGTGTAGGTCTGTGCCCAGGATCCAAATCCACGAACCCTGGGCCACTGAATTGGAGCACGCGAACTTAACCACTACGCCACCAGGCCGGCCCTTCTCAAATGTATTTCTTGCTGACACAGCTATCCATCTAGTCCTATAAAGAAGCCTGATCTTTGCAACTAATGGTTTTGGTAAAACTGGATATCCAAATGCAAAAGAATGAAGTTGGACCCTTATCTTACACTACAAAGATTAATTACAAATGGATTAAAGGCCTAAAGGTAAGACTTAAAACCGTAAAACCCTCAGAAGAAAACAGGAGGAAACCTTAATAGATTTGGCAACTATTTCTTTTATGTGACACCAAAAGCAGAGGCAACAAAAGAAAAAAATAGGTAAATTAGATCTCACCAAAATTTAAAATTTCCCTGCATTAAAGGACACAAATCAACAGTAAAAAGGCAACCCACAGATTGGGAGAAAATATTTGCAAATGATATCTGATAAGGGGTTAATATTCAGAATATATAAATAACCACAAGAACCAAAAAAAGCAGATTAAAAAATGGGCAAAGGACTTGAATAGACTTTTCTCTACAGAAGTTACACAAATGGTCAACAAGCACATGAAAAGATGCTCAACATCACTAATGATTAGGGAAATAGAAATCAAAACTACAATGAGATAATACCACATGCATTAAATAGCTACTATCAAAAAAGAATGTGTTGGCTGATCATCAGGGAAATGCAAATCAAAACTACACTAAGAGCACCTTACACCCATTAGAATGGCTAAAGTAACCAAAACAAAAAATAACGCATCTTGGAGAGGTTGTGGAGAAAAAGGAACACTCATACACTGCTGGTGGGAATGTAAACTGGTGCAGCCACTGTGGAAAACAGAAATACCATATGACCCAGCCATCCCACTACTGGGTATCTATCTGAAGAACTTGAAATCAGCAATTCAAAAAGACCCATGCACCTCTATGTTCATTGCAGCATTATTCACAATAGCCAAGACATGGAAGCAAGCTAAGTGCCCATCAACAGATGATTGGATAAAGGAGATGTGGTGTGTATATATATATATATATATATATACAATGGAATACTACTCAGCCATAAAAAAGGATAAAATCGTCCCATTCACAACAACATGGATGGACCTTGAGGGTATTATGTTAAGTGAAATAAGCAAGACAGAGAAAGACAATCTGTATGACTGCACTCATATGTGGAAGTTAAACACATGGACAGGGCCAGCCCAGTGGCGCAGCGGTTAAGTGCGCACGTTCTGCTTCGGCAGCCTGGGGCTTGCCAGTTTGGATCCCGGGTGTGGACATGGCCCCACTTGGCAAGCCACTGTGGTAGGCGTCCCACATATAAAAAGTAGAGGAAGATGGGCACAGATGTTAGTTCAGGGCCAGTCTTCCTCAGCAAAAAGAGGAGGATTGGCAGCAGATGTTAGCTCAGGGCTAATCTTCCTCAAAAAACAAAACACGTGGACAAAGAGAATAGACTAGTGGTTACCAGGGGAAAGGGGGGTGGGCACAAAGGGTGAAGTGGTGCACCTACAATATGACTGACATAATAATGTACAACTGAAATTTCACAAGGTTGTAAACTATCATAATCTCAATAAAAAGTAAAATATATATATGTGTGTGTGTTGGTGAGAAAGTGAAGAAATTAGAACCCCTGTGCACTGTTGATGGGAAGGTAAAATGGTGTCACTATGGAAAACAGTATGGCAGTTCTCAAAAAATTAAAAATAGAATTACCTTGTGATCTAGCAATTCCACATCTAGGTATATACTCCAATCGAAATCAGAGCCTCAGAGACACATACCCATGCAACATTATTGACGATAGCCAAAATGTGGAAGCAATCTAATTGTCCCTCA